TTATATAACAACAACAACAACCATTTACATTACATACAACAGTCATATACATTACATTACCGAAAGTCTCGTAATATGTTGTCCTGATCGTATAGCCCTTTTGAGTGAAAGCACCTGAATCCAAAAGACTTTCAGGAGCCAAATTTATCGGCTCGGCCCGAGAAGCCAGTGTTGAGGAAGCCTGGTCAACCACCACGGCTGCAAGCCCGCAAGAAGCTTATGAGCGGCTCACGAAGTGATTCAGGATTGGTGAGGTAAGTGTTTGGAGCACTCCTCACTCAAAACAACTGCATTATTTGATCCTTCCCTGATCCAATTCCCGTCCCCTCTGAAAAACTGCATGTTCGATCGATGCATTCATTATGTTACCCACTTTGCCGCTCTGTCCAGTTGTGCCAACTAAATTAATTTGGGGCAAGTGTAATGGTTTCTTCATATTGGGCTATTTGTGTATCTCCTACGTATGGTCCCGAAGCTCTCCTTTCGTTTGTTATAGCGTTGAAACGGCCGTATTGGTTGACATTTTTGTTTACTTTCCCTTTATTTGCATTAGCTCCAAATATTGAATTAGCTGGTTTGCATTGGCGCGGATCAGGTGTTGAGCCTTTCAGAGTTTGTAGTGAAATAAATCCGATGACTAGCGAAATATACAACGTAGTATTGCTGGGAAGGCCACTCGAGCGCCAAATTCCCAACTCGGGAGGAAAACGGCGATAAATCAACTGTGTACTGCATCAGTGCTCGTGTGAACCTACCACTCACTATTCATGTGTTTGCTGGTTGTTTATGTTATTTATCGTCGTTTCCTGAGGGGATTACAATGAAAATCAGCATGCTTACATCATTCCTAAACCTAGATGAAGTATGGGGCCGCCAGTTGTCAGCATACATCGGCAAAGCCAAGCGCCAGTTGTTTTTCGTTTAATCCCAAACTTTTTTCAGAGCTGATTTACCAACCCACTTGACTGATGACAGTGATAGTGACAACCCAATTGAATACAGAGATGATGATGATACTCATTATCGAAGTGCTCCCAGTACGTCACGATTCGATGAGGATGATGAGGATGTTCCTGTTGGTCAGTTTACCTTTGAATATTTTACGGCGTGGTCAAGCTCAAAGCATAAATGCAATTAGAAGACGAGCTTTAAGAACGCTACAAGGGAAGCATACCCAACGAATCTCTATGAACTGCATTACCAGGGACCCATTTTGGAAGTCCTATACATTGTTTTGTGATTTTCTATTTCAAGGGTTTCGAGGGTCCCAGGATTAAAAAGTTCTTTGGTGGTGATGGACGATTTTCTCATTTGCCAATGGGCCTTGAGCTGTCGAGGGTGCGACTTGTTTACAGAAGTGAAGCGATTCCATAGTGGCGTCCAGTACCCGTTCGGGTTAGCTTTTACTCAGGAGGCTACCACTTTCACACGTCCACCGATGGTGCTCCTTGCATTTCCACATAATACACTCGAAAATAAGGAAGCGTCAAATTAAATTTTCAAATAAACTTAAAGCAAAAGTTGTGTTTGTGACTTGTTGTTTTTTCTCTGGAAGCGGAGTCTCGGTAGTGTTAGGGATGAAAGCACGGTGCCCGGGTAGCACATGTACGGGTTCGAGTCCCGTTCGAGACCGAAGCTTTGTTAACAAATGGCCAACCTTGAGAGGCTGTGTTTATGATTAATACGCTTCTTAAATTCATCAGGCATGATAATTACTTTTTTAGGAGGTCTCGCAGCAAAAGTCTTCCGTAAAGATACGTTAGCCCTGCGACTTGATGCGCCACCATGTAAGGACGATATAAGCGGCCAAACGGCAGACGATCGTCGAACTCTGATGCACAATGCCTCGATTAAACTTGCACGGTACCGTTAACTTTCATTGTATTTAGGGAGACAAGCAGAGGAGCATTCATAACCCAAGGGCTACGAGGAAATGCTGCTGTGATCTTAATTTTCGTGCTCTTTGAGATTCGCCTCATTTCTGAGTCTTTCTTTCAGTAAGTTGAGTGAACGTCCTACTGTTGAAGAGCTTGAAGATCGAAATATCCTAAAAACAGCTGCTGTGCGATCAATGGAGGAGAAGAGGAAGCTTCTATTGAGAAAGGTTATTGTTGATTACTTTCAGAAGGCCGAATTTATTGAAAGCTTGGATTACTCACTACCACACGTTGCATTACAGCTGAGTTTCCGTCCAACGATTGCACAGTTGAAGGAGCAGCAGATCATACAGTTTAATGATTATGTTGAAGTTACGCAGGCGCAAGTTTACGATAGGAAAGCTGACAAGCCCTGGACGAGATTAACGTCCACGGATAAGGTAGACTTGAAGATCATGGCCTTGGATCCCATGATCCTCTTATATGAGAGATTTCAGGCNCTCATTCGCAAAGAGCTCAATGATTTCAAGGCCACTGAAATGGATGTGCATGAAGAGAGCCGGATTTTCACTAGGTATCAAAAAAGCGTTTTGTTCCGTTTTGCGCTTGTCTGCGGTCGCGTCGTGATACTATTGGGATGGTCCATGATTTGCCAGCTTTTTCAATACCGCATATCTCAAACCAGGGCCGATAGTTGAATTGTTTGGGCAGGTGACTCGACTTCAATCTTTCAAATACCCCAATAGCTGCCACAGGACTATCTTGATCTATGATTTTGTCCCAACCCAATTTGAACCGAATAGGTGGAGATCTAATCTTCTTCATGACTGCACTGTAGGGCGAGAATACCCTTCACAGCCAAGTTTCTGTTCGGAAAATGAAGAATTTGTATATTAGCCGTGCCAGAAAAAGCCAAACTGTAGAAGAAACGCCATGGTAAAACTCGCACTGCGAGAAGGTAATCACGTTTCTTCTTCTGCTTCTCGAGAGCAGTTTTTGAGTTTATTCGTAAGGCGGGGATCGGATTCGTGATCATTTAGCTGGAATTGACAGGCCGCTCCTTTTCAAGAGTGTCACAGGCACCCGAAAATGAAGTGATCCCCGAATGGTAGGACCATTATCTTCTATCCTTACCTAAACCATAGTTCAGCCTGCTCAGGATACAACCTGACCCAATTCCATAAGTTCCGGTTGTATCGCAGGTACCGATATCTACGAGCAGTAGCATTTGTGTTGCCCTACTTAGGTGGAGTATACTCTAAGGAGATCTGGAAATCAGAATTTTGCCTTCAGAGCCGAGGTCTTTATAGGAGGGAACCAGCCCAGTCTTCTACTAGACAGATCAAATGTTTGTCTGAATAATATCATGAGTATCTCAAGGCGGAGGTAGGGTAATCGCTGAAAGTCCCCAACCAGCGTATTGCATGGAGGTAGAGGTTTCGCTCAAAGCGCTCAACCGGTTTTTTCAAAGTGCAAGCTGGATTTTGGTGTTTTTTTTTTGTGTTGTTCGAAAACTGGTGTTAGACGCGCTTGGTCACCAGGTGAAGAGAATGATGGAGAACTTGTGCTGTTTTGAAAGGAACATGAACGCATGGCGCATTTTCAAGAAGATAAGTGAACCTACAGCAGCTAGACTTGGGCATAAGTACAAGCATGGCGCATGTGCTTTCGTCGCCCTACACCAGTAGCCATATGCGCCATTACTTGTAATTACGCCCTTGCTCCGAAAGCTTGATTGGTTTTGAGCCCCATTCCTTTTGAATTTTTTTCTGTTTACTATTTTTAAGTGGGTAGTAACTACTATGATTTTCAGGTTCCATCGACCGTGACCAGAACCAATTGGTGCACCTACCCGCCGCTCTTCATGCTATTTTCACTTATTATGCGGACTGAATGGACTGGATTTGTCTGTACCATTACGTCAGGCTCCACTGCATCCGCCACCTGTCCGCATTTGTCAATTACTATGGTGACTAATACAAAGTGTTCATAATAATAAAAGTAATAATAAGAGGAAGAAGACGACCTCATATCCCTCTGTGATAGCAGTATTGAATGCACGCCGAATATATTTGCTCCTTTTTTTCGTATGAACTTGGATATTGCGTTCAATGCGATAATTGCTTTTGTTTTGTACTATGAAAAGACGGCTTTCTACGAGTGAATTTAATGTGAATAATACGGTCGACTCGTTTTTTTTT